AGGCCCGAAGTGTCAGCCTTCCTGCTCCTCTGATGCTGCTTGGCCTGCTGTGTTCATCCAGCTCTACACCTTGTTATCTCAGATTCTGCAGCATCTGCAGTTCCTACTATCTCTGTTCCTTCTGTTGCTGTGTTTAGTCCCGTGTCACCATGTGGATGCATCTCACTGGATCTCTGTTCTGAGCACATTCTTGCCACTTCTGCTAGTAGCCATTAACTCCTGTGGGATCCTGAATGCCCCATTTTTATTTTTGGCAGTTCTTTACCTGCATTTCTATTTGTACATATTAGTCACTTTCTCTTGCGGTTTTACAAGCTGCTCTTGAACTTCAAAAAGAGTGCTTTGGGTTGGAGTTATTAAATTAATGTGCAATGGTCTGTCTAGCAAGAATTCCACTGGATATAGAATGATAGCATGCAGGGGTGTTTCTCTCATTGCAACGTGTAGATGTGTAAAGCTTGCTTAGTTTGCCTACATCTGACCAATAGATTTTTGGACCCAGGACAATGTGGAGAAAACATAATGCAATTGATACACTGTTCCTCACATTTGCGCTGTCCATAATTATCTCTTTAGCGATGCTGAATGAATTAAAAATGAGTTTAGAGTGTCCACGACATTTGTGCTTGTAGTGTAATGAAATTGATGAATGAGGGAGTACATGATAAAATAGTTAATGATGAGGATATCGTTATTTCCATGGACCTGAGAAAGGCCAAGTATGATTTTAGATGAAGGATGGGCAAGGACTTTGTAGGATCAGTGGTACTTTTGCGCTGTCTGAGCGTACGATCTTGACATGCAACATGATTTACAACAAGGATTTCGATGTCACTGGCCTATACCTGATTCTGTAGTGAGTTTCTTCTTACAGACAGTGACATTTGCTTTGTCTGAAACATGCCAATGCGATTTAGAAAACATCTTCAAGCTCAGTGTTAATGAAGTGTATATCTTTTGTTTTCACTGGGTTGAGTAGCCTGTGAAGTGACCAGTTTTAAACCTAATTGCATCGTCATAACCTTAGATTTCTATGAGGAGATGCTGCAAGCTTGAGGCTGCATTTATCAATGGTTTTCACCAACCCATCTGCAGTGATTTGTGGTCAACCTCTTGCTATAAAATGTTTTCCTGAATGGATAATTATGAAAATGCATGGCTCCAAAAAGTAAAGCTAATGTTTCCCATTCATTGGTTGAGTAGTTGAATTGTGCTACAGACAATTGGTTTGTCTTTTTGAAAGGATGCATGCACCCAAACCTTTTCTGTGAGGCATCTATTTCCAAGGAGGTTGTTTCCCTAGGTTCATGTCATTACAAGTTTGATACTTCCAATAGTGACTGATTTGGTGCTTCAAAGAAGTCCTTGTACCATAGGAAAGGCACTTCCTTGCTCAATCATTTCCTTGGTGGTAATGACTTTTGAGTAATAATTGGAAATGTATGGTAACAAGAACTAAAAAGAACAAGGCATCTACAAAGACCATACTTATGTTGAGGAATTTCCCTGGGTTTCAATGTCATAGAGATGTACAGCATGAAACAGATGCTTCGGTCCAACTTGTCCATGCTGACCAGATATCCTAGATAAATCTAGTCCTATTTGCCAGCATTTGGCCCATATCCCTCTAAATCCTTCCTATTCAATTACTCATCCAGATGCCTTTTTAAATGTTGTAATTGGACCAGCCTCCACCACTTCCTCTGGCAGCTCATTCCATACAAGCACCACCCTCTGCATGGAAAAGTTGCCCCTTAAGTCTCTTTTAAATATTTGCCCTCTCACCTTAACCCTATGCCCTCTAGTTTTGGACTCCCCTACCCTGGGAAAAAGACCTTGCCTATTTATCATATCCATACCCCTCATGATTTTATAAACCTCGATATGGTCACTCCTCAGCCTCTGACATGCCAGGGAAAATAGCCCCAGCCTATTAGGCCTCTCCCTATAACTCAAATCTTCCAACCCTGGCAACATCCTCGTAAATATTTTCTGAACCCTTTCTAGTTTCACAACCTCCTTCCTATAGAAAGGAGACCGGAATTGCTCATAATACTCCAAAAGTGGCTGAACCAATGACTGTACAGCTGCAACGTGACCTTCCAACTCCTACACTCAATGCACTGACCAATAAAAGCAAGCATACCAAACGCCTTCTTCACTATCCTATCTATCTACGACTCTACTTTGAAGCAACTATGAACCTGCACTGCACGGTCTCTTTGTTCAGCAACACTACACAGGAACTTACCATTAAGTGTATAAGTCCTGACATGATTTGTGTTTCCAAATGCAGCACCTCACATTTATCTAAATTAAATTCGTTCTGCCACTCCTGGGCTCATTGGCCCATCTGATCAATATCCCGTTGTGCTTTGAGGTAGCCTTCTTTGCCATCCACTATACTTCCAATATTAGTGTCATCTGCAAACTTATAACCAAGCAGTGTGGACCCGGCACCGATCCTTGTGGCACACCGCTGGTCACAAGGCTCCAGACTGAAAAACAACCCTCCATCACAACCCTCTGTCTTCAACCTTTGAGCTAGTTCTTCCTGTATGCCATGTGATCTAACTTTGCTAACCAGTCTACCATGAGGAACCTTGTTGAACACCTTATTGATGTCTGCCTAGGTCACATTCACCACTGCCCTCATCAGTCCTCTTTGTTGCTGCTTCAAAGAACTCATCAAGTTAGTGAGTCATGATTTCCCATGCACAAAGCCATGTTAACTAGCTCTTATCAGTCCTTGCCTTTCCAAATACGTGTAAATCCTGTCCCTCAGGATTCCCTCCAACAACTTGCCTGCCACCGATGTCAGGCTGACCGGTCTCTCATTCCCTGGCTTTTCCTTACCACCTTTCTTAAATAGTGGCAGGACGTTAGCCAACCTCCAGTCTTTCAGCACCTCACCTGTGGCTATCGATGATACAAATATCTCAGCAAGGGGCCCAGCAATCACTTCCCTAGCTTCCCACAGATTTCTAGGCCTCACTGATCAGGCCCTGGGGATTTTTTCCACCTTTATGCGTTTTAAGACATTCAGCACCTCCTCCTTTGTAATATGGACACTTTTCAAGATGTCATTATTTATTTCCCCACATTCTCTATCTTCCATATCCTGCTCCACAGTAAACACTGATGCAAAATACTCACTTATTATCTCCCCCATCTCCTGAGGTTCCACGCATAGGTGGCCTTGCTGATCTTTAAGGGGCCCTATTCTCTCTTTCTACTTACTCTTTTGTCTAATGTATTTGTAGATTCTCCTTAACCCTATTTGCCAAAGCTATCTCATGTCCCCTTTTGCCCTCCTGATTTCCCTCTTAAAGTATACTCCTACTGCCTTTATACTCTACTAGGGATTCAGATTGATCCCTGCTGCCTATACCTCACGTATGCCTCCTTCTATTTCTTGACCAAAACCTCAATTTCTCTAGTCATCCAGCATTCATTTCACCTACCAGCCTTTGCCCTTCACCCTAACAGGAACATACTGTCTCTGGACTCTCTTTACGTCATTTTTGAAAGCTTCCCATTTTCCAGCTGTCCCTTTACCTATGAACATCCGCCCCCAATCAACTTTTGAAAGTTCTTGCCTAATACCGTCAAAACTGACCTTCCTCCAATTTAGATCTTTAACT